CTTCAATTATATGAGTGGGCTAATTGAGTCAAATAATGAAAATCATTACCAGTAAGGTAAAATTGTTAATTGGTCATCAATATACACTAAATACACTAAAAGACCACACAAAATTAGGATTCGGAAATCATGCTGCACAAACACAACATGATATGTTCGGGCACTTTGCTGCCTGAATAATGAACTTGAAAAATCCTCAAGGGAGAGGGAGCACAGCCCCCTAGCCCCCTCCACCCCTTCCCTCTGAACATGGCTGCAGCACCTATCCATCAAGCCTTTTAAAGAATCTAATAGGCTTTAGCTGGGACAGTGTTGTCTCTTGCCATGCTATAAACTCTCCATTATTCAAGTGTTATTTAAAGACCGTCAATACTACTGGGCCAGAAGGGATTAGACCACACAGCGAGGTCACTGACAGGTGGCTAACTCATTAACTCAGCTCTCAACTAACATAAGAAAAAGAGGATCATGGGGGACCAACAGGCACCGATTTGGAAAGTTTTCTATAGAGGGAGCAAGTAGCTACAAGTAGGACAGTGGGGCTTGTGACAAGTGACAAGTGACAAGATGCCAAATTCAAATAAGCAGCCATGCTGTGCATACGGATCAAAAATAGGGGCCATCCCCTTTGTCCACCACTGAGTCCCTATCCTCATCATAAGCCAGAGGGGTGTTTCACAAAGACTAAGATCGACTTTAAGTTGGACTTAACTATGGCAGGCCATCCATACCACTGGTTGCTCTCACCGTTTACTGGCATCAGTCTCATAAGGGACGTACAAACCATGGTCACAAATCTACAGAATTTACATTTTTTGATAATTCATTATTGAATAAAAAATATTTTCTAAAGATAATAATAATGAGAGCAAACAGTGGCATGAATGGCCAGCCATAGTTCAGTCCAACTTAAAGATAAAGGTGAGTTCTGGTTAAAAAAAAGAAAATGAATTCTCACATAATCAACAAAACTTACACTGAATGTTCAAGATTACAAATATAAATGTCATTTGCCAAACAATTTTGGTAGAAAATGTATACTGGCCGAGTAGTGAGCATAGAAAGATTAGGAAATCAAGGTTGGTAGCCCCTGACACCATTTGTGTAGTCCCATATACATCTTTCTGTGTATAATGCTTGTTACTTTACCAAGACTGGGCCAAATTTATTATGATTTTGATGACTCCAGAACCTTGCAGTGTACACCAAAACTTACATGTTACATGAACAACTTTTTCTGATCCATTCCACACCTTTTCTGTCACAATGCAATCGGATGACCAGAACTCACCTTTATTTTTAAAGTCGATCATAGTCTTTGTGAACACCCCCTTGACAACAAGTACCTTCAAAATACCTTAATATGCAAGAAAATTCCCCCGTCTTTGATTTAAAAAAAATCAACAACTTCTTACCTTTGTTGTTATGAGTGTATACAGCATGTTTCAAAATAAAATCAATTAAATTTGGACTGGCAGACCCATTTTAGTCAAAAATATGCTCTCTTTTACCCTCATCATTGATGATAATATGGGTTAACATACCTGACTAATATATTTTAAAAATGCCTAAGTATCACGCACAGGTGCCTGAATCAATCAAGAGTGATTTTTTCTACATCTAAAACTGCCATTTTAATAGTTCTATCAGACAGAGCAGTCAGTCTGTGGATTTAATTAAGTACTTCACAAACCAGGTGTGGACGAAGTGTTTAATTCAAAGAGCTATTTAAGAAATTCACCCAAGGATTATGGTCTATGAGGAGGCGCGATAGCTCAGTTGGTAGAGCAGTGATCTTGTAATCCGGTGACCCGGGTTCGAAACCAAGACAATGCACTAATGCCCTTTGGTAAGGCATTATTTCTCATTACCAGGTCTCTTAAGCCTTCAGTCCTCTGGTTGCTCACTAGCATGCATTTATGCTTTCTTAGCAGTCAGGTAAAATTACCACCACTGCCACTAATACTATTTTTCATACAATACAATAATGCCTTTTCTCTCCAAATAACAAGTGAGGTTGGCAGAAGACATTTTAGTCTGGTGGGATGACACCTAAATACGTTCAATCTGAATGTTCATATGAAGAAGATTCTGAGAGATACAAAAAAAACAGTTGGCAAGAATTCAGAGGTAGGTCACTTTTTTAAAGTTTAAACATAAAAAAGACAAATTGTGCGTGGTATTATTTGTACTTGTATGCCTTTCTACTATGTATACTTTTGAATGAAATTCTAGAGGACTTCTTGTAAACCCAGTGCTGAATGATAACCCCCACTCCTTTACCTCATTCTAATATCTGTATGAAAGGATATTCATTTCAAACATTCATATGTATAATCCATATCCAAATAATCCAAAGTCTGTTCATTACAATGGACTTGAATCAGCTCCAGTGATCCTCTTGACAGGAAAGTCCACCCTGATATTTAGTTGGTTTTAATAAAAGCAGAAAAATGAGAGAAACAAACTAGTGAAAGTTTGAGCAATATCCAATCAAAATTAGGAAAGTTATGAATTTTTGAAGTTGTCATTAGTGAAACACAAATTGACAACATTGTTACGTACAATGCGAGCTTCACTCCAATTTGCTCTGTACAGTTCACCATTAACTTCGCAGAATTTTTGTACAACCCCATGCTTTTGTTCCTCTAATCTCCAAGTCTAGTGCATCTTTTGACACCAAAGTTATAAAATTAGACAATGGGTTTAGCGCCCAGCATTTCAAAAGGTTCTGGCTGCGTGGCTCAACGTTGCAATTTTCCTATACTTAAGGGGAAGTCCACTTGAAATTGTGATCAATCAAACACAAATTGGCAACTCTGTGACGAATCTTGCAAACTCCCCTCTCATTTGCACTGTACTAAAAAACTTCAAAGTATTTTCAATCCCTATATTCACCCTAACAAGTTTAAAGTCTACTCCATCATCAATTACTAAGAAAATGTATGCAATTTTCTGAACAGAGCAAACTGTAGAGGAGCTCGCAAGATACACCACAGTGTTGTCAATTTGTGTTACACTGATGACAACTTCAAAAATTCAAAACTTTCTTATTTTTAATAGGATATTGCAAAGAAACTTCACTAATTTGTTACTCTAATTTTTTTGCTTTTATTAAAATCAAGATAATATCAGGGTGGACTTCCCCTTTAATATACACAAAAGCCTGATCATATATAATATGAATAATTAATTAGGTGATTATTCGAAATTGCTTCAAGTCAAGAAAATTTAATTTCTATTTTGAGTTCATTTTAAATTTCTCTACATATGTGCCACAAAAAATATTTGTAGCTCCATGGCCAAGATTTGGAAGGGGGGGGGGGGTCCCTTCCCAGTTGTGAGATGACCTAACTATCCCGGCCTTTTTAGGGTTAATGAAGAGGCTATAAACAACATATTACACATTTGTGCGCAACAACTTTGGTCTATCAGTTCATTGAGTCAAGGAGAAAATTAAAAAACAATGCTCCTGATCCAAAATATCCTATAGTCCTACATGTACGTAATCTACCTATATTTGTCAAAGTTCCTAAAAGAGGCTTTTATAAAAAACAATTCCCTGTATGCCCTTTAAACTACCTGGTGCTATATAAAAGCTAAATATTATTACTATTATTATTAATAATTGATGCGTCTGAAGCATATTCAAGCAAATAGAATCCTGAATACAAAGCTTTCATGAAAGTTTCAATTTTCAACCATTACCATAGGGGCATAAAAAAGGGCACATGAAATTAGAATACATATGTAATCATTATTCTCGATTTGAATGTCATGGATTCATACAAACTCTCATACTCTAATACAGCAAACAGTAACAAGCATTAAAAAGAATGATATATATCATGTTATAATCTAATTCTAGCAAATTCAAATCTTATCTTCAAATATTTCAATTGACAAACTTCAAATATTATACCTATGTCATATTTCTGAAATAAATTCCTACAATTTACAATGAATACAACTAGCATGTAGTGCAATAGTGAATATTGTTTTTACACCCTTCATATTGTCTGTTTGGAGCCAGGAAAGGGCATTAACCCCTTTGTTGTATTACAAAATTGGTGCACTTCTGGCTCTAAACGGATGATGCGTTTAGTGGCATTGCAGTAAATTAAAAATCCATCTTACATGGTTTTTATTGTTCATTCTACATTGAACAGGCCACAGGTATTAAAAAAAGAAGACAAAGAAATGACGTTTCTTTTAAAGCTTATCTGCACCAGTTTGGCCAGGAGGCATTATACCCGAGTGGTCACTGACAGGTGGTTATCTCATCAAATCAGCTCTCAATTAACATAAGAAAAAGGGGACCATGGGGGACCAATGGGTATCGCTTAGGCATTGTTGGTTACAAGTAGTGCAGTCTAAGAGGGGTGAATCATTAAACTACTCAGTCTGGATGGTCATGAAAACTTTGGAGTAAGTTTTAATAAGGCAAGAAAGAGAACACATACTTTCTCCATCAAAAAAGTATTTTACCATATAGAAAAAGGATTGGATAAAAACAAATATGGAGAGATGGAGTACAGCCTCTTATGGATATATACGAACAAAGTAAAATAAATAACAGCTCAAGATTTCTACCTTCAAATAATAAAGTGTGTTAAGTATTGAACCAATGCTTAAAAAAAAGCAATAGAAAAAATTGCTTCCATGCTGTCCGAACTCTAGTGTAAATTATATCATTATAACTCTAGTATTACAGTAGGCTTGCGGGTGTACCATGTGAAAGAGAGGGGATTGAGGAGTCCTGAAAAGGACTCTCGGTAATCTTAAGCTCACGCACGTCAGCTATTCTCCACTCCTGACGACAAATAGTCAACCTGTTCGAAATGTCGAGCCACTCCCGCCACTCATCCTCTCCAAGCGATAGTTCTCCTTAGAACTATAAGCTAAGAAAGATAACCAACAGTCTTTTTCAAGACTACACAAAAAGTCCTTTTCAGGACTACACACCCCCAAGAAAGATTACCGAGAGTCCTTTTCAGGACTCCTCAATCCTCTCTCTCTCTCTCTCTCTCTCTCTCTCACATGGTGCACCCGCAAGCCTACTGTATATCTACATCACCATGCAAGCCGACACTTACAAGAAGCATCTAACTCTAGTTTTGTTTCTAATTACCTGGAATATTGATTAATACATGTACTTACAAATATTTAGAAGGTTAGTTTTCATAAATTTAGTGAAAACGTTATGTCTCATAGGATGAAATTGAAGAATACAGATCACAGATGTACGGTAGCCATTTCATCTTTTCAGTGCAATCAAGTTTTCTAACACACATCAAGACATGATTTATGAGACAAATTATCAAAACTTTACAATTCCTAAGCCCATTCTAAATTTCAAGAAAAAAAGTCAGGCTTTTCTTTGTCAAAATGATTTGATTCAATATTGGTAAAAGTTAAAAAGAAAATAAATAGAAAACTTGTTGCTCATTATTATTCTCCAGCCATGAAAATTGGAAATCGAAGTTTTCACCTTGCATTAACATGAATAAATAGAATTAAAACTAGTCTATTTCATATTAGAATTTTACACATTCAAACGATCCACTGAATTACCCAATTAAGATTCTCCACTATTGGAGAACACTTTCTGAATACTGGTAATGGCATCATGTAAGCTCTACCTCCCGTTAGCACAAATGCTGTATGCATGTACATAATGAATGCTTTCCCCTTTTCAGGTAAAAGACTCGATGTACAATTTGCCACAGAGAGATCGCCTGTAGAAACTCAGTAAGGGGTGAATTTCTTGGAAGAGTTGGCCGCAGATGCACGCATCTTGGTGGCATAGGTGGACTTAACCAGCTGGCCTGCTGCCTCTAGGTTGAGCATGGGCACCGTCTTTAGAAGGTTGTTGAGAGGGATGGTGAGATGGGTGGGTGCCGTAGTGGTTACCGTGCCGACTGCTGTGCCATTGTTGTTGATGGTGGAAGGAAGGAGGGTGAGGGGGTTAGCGGACAGGGTGGCAGAGGTCAGAGGTGAGGATACGAGAGACGGAGACGTTTTGGAGGACGAGGATGAGGTCACACCGGTAGCAAAGGTCGATGGGTCGAAGGTCAGCCCCTTTGCTAGCTCGAGGCTGTGAGGGCAAGGCAATGGGAGAAAAACGTAACAAGATGAGGGAGGAAGAGATGAGGGGAAAGCAGCCTTCGGGATGGGCGGGAATCAGGAAAACGGAAGGACTAACGGAAAGAAACCACTTGTGGAGGAACAATGACAATGTTTCAAGTGGTAATAAAGACATTAACTTCATATATGTGTGTGTGTGCTGGGAGTATGTGAGTAGCGCTGGAAAGAAGGAAGAATATTTTTTGACATATGAAGAACATAAAAGTCTCATTTCAACAATCTTTTGGGTACAACAGAGAGTGATATATATATATATATATATATATATATATATAGAGAAGAGAGAGAGAGAGAGAGAGAGAGAAGGGTGGGAGGATAGACAGTAACAATGTGAATGATAATAAGATGGCAGTATTGAAGAAATGGTGGAGAAAACATGTTTGAATGGTGGGAAAACATGGCCAAGTGGAACACACATACAAATATCTATGCAAGCAACTCTGAATGGGACAACCAGTTACTAAATTCAAAACACGGTGATGCAAGGATTGGTGTTACTATGCCAATCATCCAGAATCTCCCATATTTTACAGAATCTCTTCAGAGAAAGAATTATAACACATACGTCAATAGATCTATGAATAAATCACAATTTCTAGCATGCAAACATAAGAAAAAACTTATCGACAAACCTTGTGCAAAACTTGAACACAGGGGTGCAAGGTACTTTAAGCATGAACAGTGATGAAGAGATTTTAGATCAAAAGTTCTTCAGCATTACTTGGGCAAAACCAATGTTTGAATTTTTCTGATAATATATGAACCCACAAACATGATTAACAACTTACTATGGATAGAATATATCTTGATAAAATACTGTAAAATTGGTGCTACTTTTGTGCATCAAGCATTCTCTTACTCTTGACATCCAACCATCAGAATGAACAACTAAAATCAAAATGTATTAATCTGTAGTTTTCTTGCAATTGCAACAACAAAACAACAAAAAAGAAAAGAAATAACAACAATAAAAAATATGGAAAAAAGACAGATGTACAGATTGGTCCTTCAAAGATAAACACCAGGTAATGTAACATTACATTGAGAAAATTCTTTAAGATTGATTACAAGGCTGCTGGACTGCCTCTAATAAAAGTATACCTTGCACCCCAGCGCCAACTGCTTCTACACCCTGCACCCTGTCACAATTATCACAACTCACCTGGTATTTATGAGACACTGAGCAACTGCAACAGACTCTGGTGACCCAGTGATTGTTACTGATCTGTCTGTACTACCCTCTTGTGAGTTTGCAATCTTGATGTTGGCTCCTGACATTTGCCTATGAACCAAGGTGAATAGGCAAGTAAAAAAATATCAAGTTATAATAATGCAACTTGATTCTTAGTCATAATGTTCATACAATTTCATGGTGAAATTAAACCCTCAAGTTATGAGTCGTTATTTATGAGCTTTCGCAATCATCAGAATTATAACAGATTGACAAAAGCTTGCTGAAAATCACAAATTCAAAAAATAATGACATAAAATAGTCTTCTTCAAACGGAGGCAAGTTATCCTGGGGTAAAGGTCATGTTAAGAGCTAGTCTGAGTAAATATGGTGAGGTAGGTGTCAAGGTCAGAGAAGTGACTGTCTGATCGTGTTAGCTACACCTACCTGTACCCTGACCTATTTACTCCCAGAATACATGACTAGAGGGTAGCGTAAGTTGACCGTGTGGATGCTCTCAACTTACAAACGGGAGTACATGTAACTGTGACCTTTCAAGAGCCATCTATACACAGAGTTTGGCCAACTTGCTTTCACTGGGTCACAACATGGCGTATATTCGTTTGTTTTGTGCTTGCTCAACAAAGCAGTAGTCGCCATATTGTGTCCAACTCGAACCGGATGGCCAAACTCTGTGTATAGTTGGCTCTGCTGCCTCAGCATAAGTTACGCTGGTCAGTGGAAGGTCATGTTAACTTACTCGTGGCAAGTTGGTCCAAGTAAGAGCATGTGGACAACTATTGATGTAAGTGAAATATACAAGAGGTATTTACTGCTACAGGGATTAACTTACGCCGACTAGCAAATTCCCATCTGAACAAGACTAATGAAAAGGTAAAGGAAAGTGAAACCTTAAGAAAATTAGCTGATAATCTTATTCAACATTGTCAGTCAGTAAAAAAAAATATTAAAAATAACCCTATTTGATTACTAATAGCAAGGAAACAAAATCTCTCAAATGTTTCAATTTTCCCATGAGACTCGCCATCTTTATTGAAATGGTGATGTCAGAATAGTACATATCCACTGACATATGGTGTGGCATAATGACTGATCAAATAGAGTAATTGATGCAAATTGACAGCCACCTTTACCCCTGTATCTCAAACAGGTGATTTTGGTGAGTAGAGGTACATGTACGTCTTTGTCACTCTTTTGAATAATGGCAGAGCTTTGTCTGACACAGCAACAAGTTATGCATGCCAAATGCTGCTTAACAAAAGAAACTGTTTCAAAAATCTTGTCACAGCATGTGATGAAAGAATGAATATTCATTCATCTGAATGCATTACCAAAATGGTTTGCTATAAGGAAACTGTTTTGTCATGGCTGCATTTGACGTGTGATTATCATACATTGTAGCTGAAATACAAGTAAGTGGGTATCTCATATGTTTTACTATGCTGACATCACTATTTTAATCAAAATGGCGACTCCCGTGGGAGAATGGCTAGCAAGCAAAAGGAAGACTGAGATATTGTTTTCCCTGCTAGATAATCAAATACAACTAATTTTGAGAGATTTCTGTCTGACTGATAATTTTGAATTGGATTATCAGCTAATGATTGCTGAGTTACATTTTTTTTTAAACATGGGACTGCACATCAAAATTTGGTCTACAGTTGAAAAACTATTTTTTTGTTTGGTTCTGGTCTGTTTCTGGTCAGTTTCTGGTCCATTTTAAGGCCTTTTTTCTTACTCTGTATCTCCACTATCCTACTTCAAGATATACCCTTTCCAGCCAAATAATAACTATACCTTATCAAAGACCAACATTGCAAAAAATTGCTCTGTAAAATCGCACATTTCAAGAAAAAATGCTAAATAACATCAACTTGCTAGCTTTTTACTAAAGTCTATGAAACTTGGTACACATGTGTATATCTATAAATGACAACTGTCTGCCTAGTGTGATAGAATTTGATGACTTCATCACAAAGTTATTGCCCCAAAAACTGAATTTTCCACGCGTAATATTAAAATGCATGACAAAATTGTTGTTCATTGCGCGTGGATGACAATGGTGTCAAACTTGACCACAATGAAATACTGTTTAGAAAGATACCAAATGAGGTATATGTTCACGCAGAAAATTTTGAGTAAATTGCAATGGAAGAAAGGTAAAAATAAAGATTCCATTTGTTTTCGACCTAATCTTACTGATGGTTGTCTAAAGGCAATACAAATTTGGGTGAGAGTGCGTGTCCTGGCATGTTCTTCGTCTTGCCATATCCTATATATGTTTTACATGCAGTGTTTGTGATCACTTTCTGGGTCCCTTTCTCTATCCTGATTCCTTTAAAACTGTGTAGGCGTAGCCTTTACAGCACCCCCTCGTGGTCACTGATCTCCTTATTCCCGAAATCAACCATGAGATCAACCATGGATCCATTTTTAGCCATTTATTTCTACCAATCTATCTCCACCATCTTAGATGCTACAGACTTCTTACAAATTTCTATAGAGATCTTCAACCTGTATCAAGATCGGTGACGGCAAAAACATAAGTCATTAGATGCATATTCTTTTAACACGATTGTTATTATTGATTGATAATTATCATTATTATTACTGGTCTCCATTACCCTATCATCCTGGCAATTATATCATGTGTGTAACTCACTCCAAGGGCTCCAGTGAGTTTAAATCACTAAGTAATTTTCCATTACCATAGAACGAACAATGGTAAGTGAACCGTTACCACAAAAAACTTCTTAGAAAATGCCTCAGAAGTGTTCCCTATTGATCACATGTTAAAGAATGTGCCATGGCTTCGTAGTTTAAACACTGATATGAAGCTGCATTTTCCACTTTCATCCGAAACAAAGGCTAACTGTACATTACTTTTAGGTCCAATATAGATCTGCAATGATGTCTTCATTTTATGAAAATGTAAAATATAAAACCTCTGCTTCACAAGCAGGCTTTCAAGTTCTTTCTCTCGAAAGAAATGTCTTCAATTCCACCAGACTTGATGTTGCATGATCCCATTCAAATACTGTTTTATTATCAAATGGCTATGGTTCATACAAACGTGTTGTGTGTTAATTTAAATCTTTGGTGTGAGATTAACGCCTTGCTGGAATGCTCCCCAAGGAGTGGAGATTTTGCACACAGTGTGTGTGGGCAAGTATTTAATCCAATGACCGGGGTAATAGTATATCTGTAAAGCACTTAGAGACATTGTATTAAACACTATATAAAAGCAGAATATCATTTTTATTAATTACATTAATAGGGCGCTTAAAACAGGGTTTCTGAGCACACAGGTGGCATTGTCTAACTCGGTATAATTATTCAACATGTTCAATAGCTTATAAGCAACAAAATAAAATAAAATATTACTAATACAATCTTACCTGATCTCTTGAATCTTGGTTCCTCCTCTTCCAATGACACATCCAATGAGCTATATTTCCAAGAGCAAGAAAGAGGGTATAGTAACATAAATATTGAAATGGACATTAATTTTAGTTTCTACCATTACACATAATATAGCATGTACTCATTTTTGTGCGAGCAGCCCATACTAATCAGGCACCAATCAGGCATTCCAAACATTCAGAATCACGAGTACAGGGGAAGAGATCTACAAAGCTCTGACCCGAAGTGAATAACAAGTTTAATCCTGATGAACTGTTCATCCGTAACTGCACAACGCCAAATTCAAGAGTAACCCACTAGCAGACACCGAGGGGCAAATAAGTTTTGTATAACTTTATGCCTACTTCCAAGGTATGATATCCAAGGTATGATGAATAACCAGAAAAGTATATCTGGCTTACAACAGGTCAGGGGATTGTTTCATGAAACTATATTAAGTACAAGATCAACGACATCCTACGGGCAAACCCATCCAAGACTCAGGTGTGTGTCTTCCACTTGAAGAAAAGGGAGGCAAAGAGAGAACTGAAGCTAGACTGGAACAACGTGCAGCTCAACCACTGCGAGCATCCAGTGCACCTAGGTGTAAAACTCGATTGCACTTCAATTCAATTCAATTTAGTATTTATTGTCCATTTCTGGATATTTGACTTTTACTGGTGTAACATATACAGATTAACATTTACTAATAAATTTACAAAAATGTAGACATTAACAGTAAATAAACAAGGTTTGACATATGATTAAGCAAAAATTAACAGAGGATCGAATGTTGTTTTATAAACACTAATTCAGAACAATAATTAACATATTAATTGAAGCAGAGCAAGAGGTGTCAGGTGATCAAACAAATTAACAGGTGAGATAAATATAAATATACTGAGAAGGGTTGGTATCCATACATATATTTGCGTCTTAAACCAATTTGGGAATTATTAATTAGATTAAATATAATATTAAAGCATACCTGCCAAAATTTAAAATGAGAATTAAGAATTTTTAGCACGGTATGTCTTCGAAAATAAGAAATCTGTACCCTTAACAGGCGTTTGCATATGCAGCGGCAGTGTAACTAGCAATACGCGGTAAATCTGTGCAAAAAGCGAATACAAATTTGCTGCTCAATCATGCAGCCCTTCAACGCACGCAATATGTGAACTCTCACATCGCGACATGATAAAACAAGCTTAATTTGGCTTAAGCAACACAAATTTGTTTTTTTGAAAATCCGGAATATTTTGGATTTTGGGGTCCTAAAAATCCAGAAAAACAAAATATTCCGGATTATTCGGAAGGGTTGGCAGGTATTTTAAAGTACAACACTGGGTCTTCGAGACATTCCGTTGTACATATGGATGGAGTTTGGTATGAATGATTGCCGAGTTCTCACTCGTGCAGACCTGGGCACACACAAACGAAAGCCTGACCTATTGTAATTTTAATTAGTGTGAAGCGGGTGGGTGGGGTCGTTCATGATTCGTTTAACTTTAGCAACTACACTTTCTTCATACAGTGTGGATACTGCATGTAGGCTACTGCCAATTATCCGTTGTGCTACTCTCCTCGTACTGTCTAACTTCTTCTTATCTTTTTGAGTTGCATTCCCAAAATAGCATATTATGTTGTATGTAGCTACACTCTCTATCAATGGTCTGTAGAATAGAGTCAGAATTCTTTTGTCTTCATGCATCTTTCTCATCATTCTCAAGAAGTACATTTTCTGATTGCACTTTTTTCTAAGCAAGGTAACATTCGATGACCAGTCGAGTGAATCAGATACCGTTGTTCCCAAGTACTTATAACTGTCAACTCTTTCCACAGCAGACCCCTAAATAATCGTTTCAATAGAGAAATTTTCTACATCAAATCGGCAATAGAAGTCATTGAGTTCATGAACAAATTCACTATCTTGATCAACTACACAGATTTAGATTTATCTTTATTGTAACCAGTCATATCCTGCATTGTTTTCCATGCCATCCTTTAAGAAGCACATTGAGAAGACAATAGGCAAAGTAGAATCTCAAAATGCCATCATAGGAAAGCTAGCAACTGCACACTATGGCACTGACCCCAAAACTGTACAAACTGCAGCTGTTGCCCTCTGCATATCATCCGCAGAATATGCTTGCCCAGTTTGGAGCAGATCAGCCCATGTGAAGAAGCTTGACACCACACTCAATAACTCTTATTGAAAGATAACAGGCTGCCTGAAACCAACAAAAGTTGAGGAGTTATATAACCTCGCTGGCATCGGATCTCCTAACCAATGACGCACTAACACCTGCTTAAAGGAACGGATGAAGCAGGTGGCAGATGACAGCCCCATGTTATACGGCTACTTACAACCCCACAAACGCCTTGTATCCCGACACAGCTTCCTCGATTCTGTCCCACCACCTGAACAGAATCCTCCACCATCAGCCAAGCCCGTATTCATCAAGCACTTAACCTGAAGTGGCCGGAGTGGAAATGCCTAAATCGAATGCGGACGAGAATGAGCCGGTGTAAGGCCAACATGGCAAGATGGGGCTATGCCCATGAAGAAGATACCCTTTGTGATTGCGGAGAGACTCAGACGATGGACCACATCTTGCAGTGCGGCAGAACAGGTTGCACAGACGAAGACCGGGCAACGAGAGCCTCTGTGAGATTGGGATCTTTGTGTTTCCCGAAAGTGGATCAAACAACGTCGTGGGTGAAACCGGGGCCACTCCCGACGGGGTCGTTGTATCGCAACCACGCCGTAAGACACAGAGCTTGACCCAAAGGTGGAGCTCAGTGTGACGACTTCTACATGACTGGCCGACCCTAGGGTGGTGCCTGTCATAACTACAAGGGGAGGAGATCCCCGGAGGAGGGAAAAACCTCCAAACTCACAAGATACCTGTCACCGGACTGGCAAAACACCGTGAGCGGTATTCCCGTGGAGGGAGAAGGGAAGCCTGGGCTGTACCTGGCAGAGCCAGTGTGAAGGCCTCTGGTAACTCAGACTATAGGAGAGCCTGCACCTCGGCTGCAAAACCATGAGGGGCTTGGGAGCCGCGCCGACTAGTGACTCAGAGTCACCAACCTGACCCTCAAAATCAGTTACATGGAGAACCTGGCCCCAAGGGGGTGGGCGCAACCACGATCATTAGTCTCCTTGCCGGGCGGCGACTGAGATAAGAGGGGCAGCCTTGGCCAGGTGGCAACGAGCACCGAACACCGGGAAAGACCAAAACCGGGTACCAAACCAGTATGTGAACAGGATCCTGAGTATCAGGAACATTTAAACAGGCCTGTATACTGGAAGGAGAGATTCGAAAGATCAGACACAATCCAGGCAACTGGTACCAGATCAAGCCACCATGTCGGGACAGGTCCGAACCCGGACAGGATCAAACTGGACCTAGATCCTGGACGCCCGTGTCCAAAGCCCAGACAGAGCCGACTGCGTAAAAGGAAGGCCTGTACCACCAGAGGTCGGCAAAGTGCTTCAAGTAGTAGAGAGGCTCAGCTTGATCGATGGCAACAGAGAAGGGTTGGCATCTAAAGGAAGCCGGCTCCTAAGGATTCAAGCCAGTATCCAGTACAGAGGAACCACTCAAATTGCATGTGTCACTGGCTGGAGCAGAGCCAGTGATCGGGTTCCGAGTGTCAGTGGCCGCAATGGCGACACTCTTCCCCAGAGCACGAGCGCCAGTGGTCGGCAAGCCGATGACGCCCGCCTCTATTGTGTGGAGTGGGCTAGTGATCAGTAAACTGATCGCCCCCTTGCTGGGACCACGGGTCCCAACAATGGATGTCATACCGAGCCCGACAGAAGTTGAGCTGGCAAACAGTAACGTGCTTGTTCAAGAGACGCTAGTAGCGCTCCCTAGCTTACACGCCACCACACTGAATGAACGAGTGGTCGGCTTGTCGAACACACCTCCAGTAGCTGCTGGGGGAGAGACACGGGTAAGAGGCTCTGACTTATTCATCATGAACCTGCATACAAAAAGAAAACAAACAAAGAGAAACGCCAGACAAAGGGAGCGAGAGCGAAATAAACTCCACGCTTACTTTATTTCCAGCCAAACAGTTTCAAATAAAATGTTTTTATTCCCAACTAAGCCCAACAGCATGCATGAAAAATAAACCAAACAATCACAAACAGACAAAAGGTCGCACCGCAGAAGCGGTGATCCGCGAAGCATAACGAGCTAAGGCGGGACGCTAGGGCGACGAATAAATCAACCGCCTAACCACACGTAAGAAATCCCAACCAGCATGGGCCTTAACGCCAGGACCAAACGCCCTAACCCAGTGGGGTACCGAAGCCTGTAATTTACAGTGGTGAAAAGGGAAATATGCGGAGCAGAAATGATACTCAAATTTCTGCAAAAAACAAATATGTGACTTGGGAACCTGTACCACCAAATTAATAGCAATTAAAATGAGGACGGAATTCAATGCGTAAAAAGAGCTAAGCCTATCAAAAAAAGGACAAAATCCTAGATTTTAAATGTGACTCAGCTGTAACGGTAGGCGAGAATAGAAAGAGGATGAATGGCGGGCGGGCATACATTGCGCACGTGAACCCTGGGAAGGTGATGTTTTTAAAGAGTTCTCGATGGTGGCGTATTTTGGATAAACTAGCAAATAATAGATAGATACATTGATTTATTGTGGTAAATATATGTATCTACCGATCAAGCATACTTACATGGTTTGGAATGGTGATTTCTTGTGTTGTGGCTTGACCTTGTACCTGTGGCGGAGGAGCAGCTGTCTGGGCTGCAAACTGTGTCAACGCTGTCAGCATAATCAGGGAGGGGAGGGAAGGGAACAATATAAGGCTGAAATAAGTCTAGAATAAATAAACACTTGCTTCTACATAGTAACAAATCGACGCTTTGTTAAAATGAAGATCTAACCCAAATCTTTAGCTGACAATAATGATACAAATTTAGGATAAAAATGGTACACTTTTAGGATAAATTCTGAACTCTATGCATGAATAAATTTGGATTTTGCCACTTTCTCATATTTCAACAAAAAATAACAATCAATGTCCACATTCTCACTTACTTCCTGGACCGGTCTATTAAAGCTAGACTGTTCTATGTTCGAGTGGCCTAACAGTGATTGTGAAGACACCACTGTGCCATGAAGCATACTTGAAATGGAAGTAATGACTTTTGGAAATAAGATGATTAAATAAGGGAAGAAGTAGAAATTGAAGAAAGAAGAGATGAGAGGATAAAACAAAGGATAACATAAGGAAAAGAGAGATGAGAGGATGAAACAAAGGAAAACATAAGGATAGAAGAGATGAGAGGATGAAACAAAGGATAACATAAGGAAAGAAGAGATGAGAGGATGAAACAAAGAATAACATAAGGAAAGAAGAGATGAGAGGATGAAACAAAGGATAACATAAGGAAAAGAGAGATGAGAGGATGAAACAAAGGAAAACATAAGGAAAGAAGAGATGAGGAAAGGAAGGAAAGAAAATGCAGAAGATGAGAGAATGCTAAAGAAAAAGAATTGCTGGAATGAAAGATAGCAGAGGAGATAATAGAAAGAAAAACAAAAAATAAAATACCATAAGGAAAGACAGAAAGCGAAAAATTATAAAAGGATAAAACAAAGAATAAATCAGGGAAAGATAAAAGAGAAGATGATAGAAGGAAAGAACAAAGAATACCATGTGGAAAGACAAAAAGAGAGAATTATAACAGAAAACAAAAACAAAGAATAACATATGGTAAGGAAAGATAAAAAGAGACTAGCAAAGAATAGCATAAGAAGGGTTCATTAGGGTAAAATTGAGACAAGTTTGAAGACAAAACGAACCGTACCTCAGGAGCGGTCTAGTGAATCAGTCTAGCGTAGGCCAGACCAACCAAGTGAGTTAAAAACAGGGTCTACCACTGTTTCCACTAGTTTAAAAGAAGACGGTGTCAGGATGTCCAATGTCTTTAGAGATTATTTTCATTTTTCTACACTTTTCAACATTTTGATAAATTTGTGTTAAACACCTCACAAAATAAATATCTGAATGGATTCTCAACACCTATCACTTGTTCTTATATTGTGCCTACTGAGGTAATTCCAATTATATGCTAATTATTGAATTATAATAGCCCTCATTGAATGTTTTTTTAAAGCCCAATGGGCAATATTTTGCAATGTGTGCATAATATTTCATTAATGAGACACTTCACATTTACACAAAAACCTGGTTCAGCAATACATATCTGACACATTTTTTTGAGTAGGCTGTATACCTCAATTGTGAAATATTTGAAACACTAAACATGCTTTATATAATATGTTCATAAGAAATAAAACACTCTGTATTAGAGCTAAAGGAAATAACATTGTGGGTCATCAGGAAAGGTAAAGTGGTACAATACATGTATATAGATTCACAGAGTCTGAGGCAGAGAGGGGGGCAAGGGGGGGGGGGGGGAGAAAGCAAAACCTAGTGATGAAAAAACAGTATGTTGCAAGAAATAATAATGCAACTCAGGATCTTACACTGAAAAAAAAACCCATATATATTTGGACAAGGGGGTTCTAGTCTTTTGATCAAAACTGGACAAATCAAATGAAAGGGATAGAGGGGTGGGCAGGCAAAAACTAAAGGAGATGAAAAATAGAAGACAAAAACCTATTTTCGAGGACATTTCCTAGAACATTCTTCAACTAAGATCACAGATCAAAATTTATATTCATATCTCAAAAGTTTTTTCTCCCTCACTTTTTAGTACAAGAAATATTTTGTTGACCAGTCTTACAAAGAGTTGCGATTTATCCACATCAATCGCAAGTTTCCTTTCTCTTATCTACATAGTTGCGATTGATATCAACTATCAGGTGTGACAAAAATTTTGCCATTCATATGCAAATATGAGTCTAAAAAGAGAGAGTTTTCAACAGAAAAATTGACAGAGAGGGCAAGGGGATGGTGATAGTTTGGGTCATGGTTAGATTGCTGGTGTGAAGAAGAAGAAGATGATGATGATGATGATGATGATGATGATGATGATGATGAAAACAAATGATGACATTGATTATGAGAATGAGAGGATGGAACATACCTGCAGGAGAAAATGGGGTCTGTCCAGGGATTGCGTAGGGGGTTTGCTGGTGGTGCAGGGCAAGTTGGTGGTGGAGCTTGGTTAACTGAAAGTAGACCACGAGAGAAAACCAAGATCACCGGGGGTGAAGAAAGGGGGGCACATACACCAATTTTCCCCTTAACATTCTGTCATTACACCGGCTCATATGCCTTGTTTATAATCAATTGAAACTGGAGACTCGTAATGATCATATGCTTAAAGTTTTTCACAAATATCTGATGATTTGCAAAATAAGATCTTCACACTGTTCCTATACTGTGAATTCCAGGAGTTCCTTATCAGCAAAATGCTGTACATAGACAATCCAAGTGTCTAACATATTTATATAAAGTGTCTGTAAGACATATAATATCATCTGTTGTCTTGAAAAAGGCACTAGAATATGAAGAAAGATTATAAGATTAAGATTTTATCTTTCCCAACCTAAATTTTCCAAATTCAGCAAAAGCCTTTTTAATAACTCATCTTGCAGAACTTTCATATATTCAGAATTTGTATTACTAAAGTAAGCAAGACTCTACTATTAATATCAATTCTGTAAATATGAAATAAAAAGACCAAAACTATCAGCAAATCCTCTTCTCAAAGTCTTAAAAATTAAAGAAGAATTCAAAGGCATCAGAACATATCCTGATGCTACATGTTAGTACTGACAACCTACCAACATGCAAATAGACCACCTGGAGATATGAGAAAGAAAAACCTTCTATGGCCAATATTCCAATATTCAGATTTCTTTTTCACTCTTTTTTGGGGGGGGGGGGCATTCCACTATGCAACTTCTCTGAGAATATAAAAGAAATGTTTATATACATGTTCAAGAATGTTATTGGTCAAATAACATCATGTGGCCGTGCATTATTCTGTCTAACAGTGTACGATGCCTACTGTGCATATAAATACCCATCAGAGATGACACATGGCTACAAGTGATAATGCATGGCTGAGGTGCATGTATGTACATCTCTGGTAAGAACAAAATCAAAGGCGTGATAAAATGCATGTAGTTTCAAATGACAAGGGCATTGATACGCAGAATGAGTCACACTTATGTACTGTGAATGATGTCATTCAAACGGCTGTCCCAAAGACCATGCACAGCTTGGAATTTTGAAGTTATTTTGCTTATTTCTCAAATTTAAATTCATATTGTAAACCTATTTTTTAAAACAAATGATTCACGTTCTGAAGCTCATGCATTCGTGAAATGCAATGTACTTGGCTAAGTCACAATGAGCCACTATGAACAAGACTTGTCATTATCAAGTTACGACTTAACCTGTGTGCAGTGCATATTTATGAATACACTGAAAAAACATGAACTATTTGTATATTACTGTTGTCTGAAAATGAACAAGTTAAAAAGAAATTGGGCAGGCTACCAAGTAGTTAATAATCCTTATGGTATAATACAGAATGTGAGTATGTTTCTTATGTTTTAAAATTCTATAAGGGTTTATTTGGTTGGTGATGAACATGAACTGTGTCAAGAAAAGGTCTCATGTGAAGACAACAGTCTGGAAAGACGTCCACAAGGCTGGCCAAAAAACCTAGCCACTGAAACCACCGTTTGGCCGGGACCCTGTGGGCACGCCGCAGGTACCGGGTCACCCTGGTAATGGTCTGAATCCTGTCCCGACTGGGACGGGCCAATCTGAAATTCCAAATCCGTGCCCACGTACACCGGGGTACGGGTGGGAGACAGCTCTGATTTCTCCAAATTTACCAGAAAGTCGAGGCCCTGCGCGGTCCGCAGAAGAAGTTGTAAGTGAACTAGTAGACGGGCTTCTCAGCTCGCTAAAAGGAGCCAGTCGTCTAGGTAGGCAAACAGCCGGAGACCACTTCACTGGAGAAAGGAAATATGAGCGGAAACCATGTGTGTGAACACTCGAGGAGTTGGCCTCAGCCCGAAGGGAAGAGCCCGGAACCTGTAGATGTCGCCTTGAAAAACGAACCCTAGCAGATCTCTCGATCGGGGATGGATGGGTATGTGAAAATAGGCGTCCCTGAGATCCGATTCAGACTGCCAAGTCCTCCCGGCCTATTGTCGGGAGGATAGTAGCCAAATGCTCCATGCGAAAATGCACCGGAGCGATGTGGAGGTTGATCCTCTTCATGTTGAGGATCATCCTCAGTTTCCCCGAGCGCTTGGGGATGATACAGATCGGAGAGAGGCTCAGACAAGGGTGATCCAAACCCGTTTTATAGCACCCTTCTCGAGCAACATGAGAATCTCGCTCGGGAAAGGGGCGGACAATGGTAGCGGACGAACCCAAATGATGCCGCCCGGAGGGGCTCTTCTAGTTCTATATAGAAGGAACCCTCAGAGCTGCCCGCCGACTCTGTCTCCAAACGCTCGGGGCAACACCTCAAAGTGCTGCTTGGTTCCTAGGGAAGGGCTAGGCCGAAGACCTCTGCCCCCCCCCCCCCCCTGAAGCTCTAGCCGGCCCCCTGCCACGGCTCGGTCGAGGCTGGGGCAAACGTGCAGAAGCACAATGCGGCACCAACACACGGTGGGGACCCAGAGCTGGAGCCCATTGGCGTGAGGTGGAAGCAGTAGGCCTGCTGGGAGGCCTCGAACGAGTCCTAGATGGCTGTTGGGGGCGGAAATGTCTGGCCATATCCGCCGCCTGCTTCCTTCGATCTATTTCCTTCTGTAACAGAGCAGGAAATTGTCCCCCACAAAGGATCGGCTGAGGGAATCCCCTCACAAAGAGACGGGATGTCAAGCTCCAGTAACCCCAGCACCAACAAGGCGAGCTTGCGGCGTTGCGAGGACAAAATGTCCACCGAGCACGAGAGACTGGTCCACATGAGGCCCAAGAGCAACAGAAGTAAATTCTCCAAGACAAGGCAATCCTCCGCCAAAACCTCCAGCTTGTCAGGCCTGGCCAAAAGGCTGACCAGCGAACCTAGATAGGGGGAGAGACGAAGAGAAACTCTTGTCATATCCGCCACTGCTGCAAACGGCTTATCCCGGTGCTTGTACGCCTTTGACATGATTGTAATCCCAAGTCTCAGGGCTAAGTTGAATGACTCCGGCGAAAGTTGCTTGGCAACAAAATAATTCGAGTGACCTCATCCACAAAGGAGAACGCCAAACTCTGGCGCTTTACCTCTCTAGCAGCCGTGGTGCAGATAGCAGAGAGCCTCGTAAACTCTGCCTTAAACTCTTCTGGCAGCGGGATACCTTCCGGGGCAGCATGTGTCCTAAACAATGATGACGGTCAACCAACCCGAGGGTAGGCTGGAGAAAAAGTTTAGGAAGATATTTCTCCAACAAAGCACAGGCATCAGAGTGAGCCCGGCTGAGAGTCCGAGGCAGATAACGCTGAAACCTGGGAAGCCAAGTCCCAGTCACACTGCCGATCAAGAGGCATTGAACCCCACGGCTGTGCGGCAGCAGTCGACTCCTCCCCTGGATGGACTCCGAGAGAAGCAGGAGCTGCACATCGAAACCCCAAAGGCTGGGTTGTCGACACACACAAAAATTTGTGATAGGGTCCTCAATGCCACCCGAGACACGAGTAAAGGCAGGCGCCAAATGACGTCAAACTTTGTGAGCCTGTCAGGACCACTGGAACCCCCAGCTGCCCAAACATTTCTTCCATCAAACCCCTAAGCTGCGCCCGAGCGGTAGCAGAGAAGGCTGACTTTGGCGTAGATTTCTTCTTCGCCTTTTTAGCCCCAGTCTCAGCCAAAGCATGGGTGGATGAGCTCTTTCATTTAACAACCTTGCTAGTTTAAGCTTTCACTTTAGCTTTACGGCCAGTGGGACCGTGGCCGTCTCGCTCCTACAATTCACGGGAAGCATCAGCGAGCACGGCACCCTTCTGTTTCCTTGTTAGTGAGAGGCGGGTCGTCGTGAAACCCGGGTCACCCTTGTTGCGGAGTAACAGAGCCTCAAACCATAAAGCTTGAGGCCTCCCCAAGCGTGAGAGGCCCTGTTAAGGGCATTCTGCTTGAGGCAGTCTTTATATTCGCGGCCGAAGCATTCTGAATTTCTAGACTGGGCATACTGGCAAATGGGCGCACCTCCATGGCTGGCCCAGGAGGTACAGTAGCCAACTTACTAAAGGGCAGTGCACCGGACACACCAGGCATAAACTACCCGATCAGGGGTGCAAGATGTCTTGCCCCCCCCCCAAACAAAAGAATTGACAACTTTCCTTAAAGCGTCAAATAACAAATAAGTAGCCACAAAGGCTACTTCGAACAAAGAGTTATCTTAGCATCAACAAATTATCTTAAATGAGAAGTGAACTAAACCCACTACGAACAAGGGAATCAACAAGCGTCAAACACAAGGAATGCACAATAAATTCTGTAACAAGTCGAGCTATACACACACACACACAGCCGACTCGGCGTAAAACCCCAGTACACAAAGTCGTGAACGGGACGGAACACAAAACATGAAGTATGCTTGGCAAATTCAAACACTAAGTATTGCCAAACAAAACGTGACAGAATTTTACTATACAGTGCGTCCCAGAAAAAACAAACCAAGAATTATCTATGTTTTATCATAACTTAGTCGCATTTATAATTAATAAATGACACATATTTGGAAAGCTTCTTTTACTTGATGCAACTCATATGATGCATATTTCACACATGAGTGATTAAAATCAATTTTACAGGTCGCGCCAATCGGGAGGGGCTTTGCAAGACTTATGCAGAACCCGTCTAGCATGACGGAGCGCACAAATGTGTTTCTGGGAATTGCTTCCCAAGCGGGAAGGAAGAACCGAAGCCATCCGCCTACTTTGTAAACCCAAGCTCGGGGCAAGACATCAAAACATGTGCCTAGGCCTGGCCGGAGCCCTGCCGTGGGCCTGACGTCCCCCCCCCCCCCCCCCTGCTCCTGAAAGAACCTCTTCCACGAGACGACCCATGGCCACCCCTGGGCTGGAAGCAGTAGGCGCTGCCACACGAGCTACCTCCTCAGCCACTTACTCGTAGGTCAACTTAAAGTCCTCCCATCAGAGGTATTCCCGTGGAGGGAGCACCCTGACGAAAAAACATAGAAGCCCAAGCGACATCTGACTGAGCCAAAGCAAAGGCCTCTTTTCAACCAGAGCCTACGCATCTGCTGCCAGAACCGAAGAGACTTGCGGGGGCCACAACTGCCAATGACTCTGAACCAGATCAGCATCCTGATCCCCAAACTCGGCCTCATAGGGAACTTGGCCCCAAGGGGGCGGGCACAACCACGAGTCGGAAGTCTCCTCACCATGGGTCCCAGCAGAAGTTTTCCGGGAGCCCCTACCAGCGGTCCCTAACTTACACGCCCGGGAAGACAATACCTGAGCGAGTAGTCGGCTTGCCACTCACACCTCCCGAAAGCTGCACTTGTTTGGATGAGGCACAGGTAAAATAGAGAAAATCTAAAGAAAGAAAGTGGGAGCGAAATAACTCAGCACTCACTTTATTTCCAAAAGGCTAAGTTGGGATGCTAGGCAGATGTATAAATTATCTCCCTAACCAACCAAACAAAAATCAACCGACAAAAAGGTGCTAAGCTGAGACAAAACGCCCAGCCCAGGGCGTAACAAAGCCAGCAAAACACGGTCGCGAAAGAGAAAATTGGGAGGCAGAAATTAAAGTTAAAATTCTGCCTAAGATATAAAATGTGACCGAGAGCCTGTACCACCAAATTAATCGTAATTAAAATGGGGATAGAATTAAATGCGCAAAACTTACTAAGCTGTGCCCAAAAGGATACAAAATCAGTGACTAAGCTGAAGATGAGTTCTCTCGGCGTGCGAGAATAGAAAGAGGAAGATGGCGGGCGTGCCCTGGGAAGGCGATGTATTGGGGTGGGGCAAGCGAGAATGTGATGCTTTAGTTCTCAGTGGCTGCGTAGTTTAGGTAAACTAGCAAATAATAGGTAGATACATTGATTTATTGTGGTAAATTGCACAAATTCTTTTTATGATTGATATGATTGCAATTATCAGAATCATTATCTAATTGAAGGTTAATACAAATAAAATTTGGTTACAGATGGCTCCTAATGGGTTTAGAGTGGCCCAGTAAATTTGTTTTCAATTAATCTATTCCTTCTATGTGTTCTGCCCCCCAAATGTTTTGAACAAACATTTGTCATACCCGTATTATTTTAACATGCAACACTTATTCTTTTTTCCTCTTTCTTTTCTCCAGGTCATGAAAATGCATTGATTCTCCCCTATTCTTTTCACATAAACAGTATTACAATCAGTCACACCTACTCAAAGTGACTCGGTTACATTGCCTTAGATTCTGAAAAATCCTTGATTTAGCTCATGCTGCAATCATAATTATAAACCTTTATGTCAGTCAGGAATCCCATGACTTTAACAAGCCTGTCTGATTATCAATATATTCATGATTGGAATTCGAAATTTCAAAAACTGTTTTTCCAACAGTATATATATTATGTCTATTGGGGGAAAATGAGTTTTTTACTTTTTTGAGGCACTTCTTGATCATTTTGAAGCGGCATTTTTTTAGAGCTTCAATATTACACCATATCACAGACACTGATAACACATAGGGTCACGTATCTCAGACTTAACATCATTAAACAATGCCATAAAGGAATTTGGAAAAAACAGGGTTTAGCATTGGAGTGTACAACAAATTTATAATTATTCCTTGTAATTGATACTTACGTCTGGCTGGGCAAGAGCGTAGTTACCATGGACAGCATATGCCTGTTGTTGCTGTCAAGTATATTGAAAAAATAACGAGGAAATAAAGTAACGGTTCTGTCCACGTATATACATGTTCAGTATATATATATATATATATATATATATATATATATATATATATATATATATATTTATATTCAAACTGGTTTGAAATGCTAAATCTAAGCTGTAATATTCAAAATACCGAAAAATATCATAAACCATACAAATTGGAGATCTTGCTTTCCTATCATGTCTGTAAAACAAATTGACTTTTTAGAGAATTAATCTCATGAAGAGGGTTTTAGAATAATAATAACAGCAACTTCTTGTTGCATTCACCTAATGGTCCAATATCATTACTCACATATAAGTCAAGCAACCAATATGTGGAGCTAGAGTGGCTAGGTATACAAATATCTGAGGTATCCAGATGAATGCAACCGATCATGTCATTTTGTAATATGTGATCTCGCGAACCTAAATTTGTTTCATTTCATCTTTTATGTCCATACATCATAAATCAAAAGACCTTCATCAAATTTGCGAAATAAATCGCCTCCATTAAAAATATCAAACAAATCTGTAATTTCAATCACTTCATTTAATAGACTTGTATGTGTTCAATTTTTGTCAGAATATCTTGCTAAAAGTGGATTTTTCACCTTTTTCTGCAGTTTTGTGCTACAATATCATTTATTTTCTAGTAATTTCAAGACTCTTTTGTTGTGCATATAATTTAGTTGAAAGGCTAGTTTAAACCTAGGCCCATCACTATCAGTGCAAAAACATTCAAGGCCCATATTTTTTTCTCAGTACAACTCTTACCCCCGCCTCTATTCATCTTTTCTTATATCATTACCTATGTCTTTCTATACTTTTATCATTTTATATTTTCTTTCTATTTTTCCTTATATCATTCTTTTTTTTTTAACCCTCTTTAACCTTTTTTCTATCATTCTTATGCTACCGTTTTTCCCCACTTCTTTCATCTCTTCTTCTTTTTTTTCCCTAAAGTTTATATGTATTTCTTTGTTTTTATTTCTGTGTTGCATCTTTCCACATAATTCTACCTTCTTCTCTATCTTTCCTTATTTTCCCTTTATTGTTCTCCAGGGTGCAGAGTGGCCAATGCAGATTAATTTCTTACTGAAAGGCAAATATAATGCTTGGATTCAAACTCTCGACCTTTTCATTAATAATTGTTTATATTAATGAACCACTATAGCTAGAAACTTCTTCATTGTTCCTATGGGTTGAAAAAAGAAAATAAACAGGCTCAGCTTTAAACATACATGTATACTAAATCAGGATTACGTATACTTTATGAGATCTATTTTAAATGATAAAATGAACTTAACATATCAAAAGCACTATAATATTCCCTGGCACAATCAAATCTACAATATATTAAAATATTCATAAAGTACGTGCTATAAAGATCTTATGGAATAAATTTTAAATCAATTGACAATTAATCTGTATTTGATTTGTGTTTTAGGATTTGAATTTTACAATTTTTTTGTACAGTTAATGTCATTACTATTTCAGAAGGAACAACAGAGAGGAAGGAGCTTTGATACTCTGCAAAAATTGACTGCTTTGAGGCGTATGGCTAAAACTATTGGCCAAGGTGATCTTGAAACTGTATTGTACCCTTTGATGAAGTTGAGGGACATAGTGTAGTCTCAAGATCACTGCGCACATCCATTGTTAACTTCAAGTGCATCTATTGCATCCTTGCATTGCATGTGTTAATAGAGCTTTGCCCATCAATAATTTTTTACTATACTTCCCAGCAGTCAGAAGTGAATTTCAAGACTTAAGTTTTGAACAATCAGATTCCTAGAATCTTGATATGCACTATATTATACAAATATTACATGCTTTGAAGTTCAATATAACAAACTCAAGAATTTCCCCAAGTGATGTTATATTTCATCGAGGTTGCAGGCCAAGGTGAGTGAATTCTGAATTTGGAGGTAAATATTTGTTACATTGAACAACGAATTGCATGCAACATTTGTTATATACAGGGTATTTACAATCTCATTCAATCCTCCTTTGGTTTCAGGGCCTATCAATTACATTCAGCGTCATATGCACGCAGCTAAGACCCAGCTAAGACCCAGTCCATTTCACTTTTGTACTTTTGTAAGTTTTACTGTGCAATTTTTAAAAATAAATTTGAAGCTTGTGCAAATATATCAGTCATAAGGCACCTTTTTGTATAGCCAATGGGATACTCACTTTACAAATACCCTATACCAGAGATGCCAACTTTTGGAAAACATAAATAGGGAGGATTTGTAACGGACACCAAATAATGTGCGCGTAGCGCACATCTCGAGCGCGTAGCGCCCGACCCATGCGGCCGGGGTCCAGGGCCCGCCTTAGGGCCCTGGAAGCTCTGGGGTTCTAGATGCTCTCTGGTGCAATCTGAGCCTTATTTTGCAGCATTTTACATGTGTATTTAGTTCAATAATTCCCACTTTTTTTTAAAATAACATACAAATTGTACAAAATGCATGATGAATTCCTTTCATATATATGATACAGTGTTCGGTCTTATACTTCTGATACCATTTCTTGGTCTTCTTTAGCTGATTTTCCGCCATTTGGATTCTGTGTCAATATCCACGCATTGGTTACGGCGATCCATATGCTGAAACAATCTTTCGCTACTCTTAATTTGTCTTTTAATATAGTGGATTTACTACATGCTAAAGTTAACAGACGATATTTCTCATTCAATTCACAGATATATATACTGATAAGCGCCAAAAAAAAAAAAAAAAAAAAAAAAAAAAAATCATTTTTTTAATTTTTTATAATAAATCGGGAGGATAAGGATGGTGATCGTAAGGTCGGGAGTTGAGGTGAATTATCGGGAGCCTCCCGATGAAATCGGGAGGGTTGGCATCTCTGCTATACATATATATTACTTCTGACCATGACTACGTCATTAAGTCATCTTTTCATTGCTCTTGTTGTGTGATCATACAAGTTTTGATATTTCCCAGTCTATCATTTATTTTTTGTCAAAAGCTGTTTGGCATTAATTAAAGCGGCCAACCCTGACATCCTTCAAATAGAGATGACTGATAGGGTTGCATTTCCCTTACGGTAAATGATTTCAACTTTAAGCCAAACCCTTAAGCCGGAATTCACAAAAGAGGTTTGTCGACAAACCTAGGTTTATGTGCGTCATATGACACGTTTCGAAGCATTTCAAACCAAGGTGCGTCATATGAGGCACATAAACCTAGGTTTGTCGACAAACCTCCTTTGTGAATTTGGGCCTCAGTGTTTGGTATACACTCACATGTAGGTGTTGTTCAGTCATACTTACTGAGCCTCCAGCAAATATGATGGGTGCTGTAGCGGGCTTTGGACGGTACGGAATGGTAGCTCCTTTAGGAGGTGACTGCAATGGGTGACGAAGAGATACAAAACATTTAGTTACCATCCCATTTACATTTAATAAGACTTTAATGGGACTAGAGTATCACATATATATGATAACATATACAAAATAAAAAAGAAGAATCCATGTGGGTTTCATACTTAATAACTTTCAACTGTTAATTGATAAAATTCACACATTCTTGGAAATCCTACTTCCTTCATCAGGTGATGAACAGACAATTTTATATATAAAGCCCTCAAGAAAAGAGCTCAAGTTGGAAAGATTATAGCTCTCTTATGGCATAATCATAATTTTTTATTAATATCATTAGAAAGCATGTTTATTCTTCTTTAATTTATTCCATATTTGTTATGATTTTGCAGCCATGAACCAAGCACTACATCAGAATAAAAGGCAGGGTAAAAAATGAAAAGTTTCAAAATGAACTGGTAAGCAGTGGTATTGCTATGCAAAGCACTCTTCTAATTTTGACATAGAGAGTGTGATTTCTGAAATTGGCAGTGGGCTATTGCTCCCTACTGGTTCAACTCCTTGAATGCCAAATTCTATATAATTTGAAAATGAATTAAAAATTCCTGCCTATTTGGTCATCAACTTTTTGAAGTATCATGCCTAGCTTAACCCTAATAAGGCCCATTATGGCCCCCCTCCCCTCCACGATTTTTCCAATTGCTCGGGAATGCATATGGATGGCGCCCCGCCGCTCGCTGACTTTTTTCTTTCGAGTCTTGCGCAACTTTTAAAATAATTTTTTTGAAAATCGGACCTACAGTTACAAGGTCTCGTGACCTTTTTTTTTTGCATGTCAGCCCGAAAATTGCTCATTTTCGTGATTTGTGTACAAAACATATGGAAAAGTCGTTTTTTCTAAAAACAGACCAAACATGGGTTATTGGGTCTTTTTTAAAGTTTAAGTGGTTGTTTCGGGAGTCAAAATAGTTGAATTGTAATAAGAAATGAAATTAAAAAAAAAAAAAAATGAAATACACAAGTTAAAAAAACAATGAAATACATAAGAAATTATCAAAACAAGGGATAACATAAGGAATAAGCTGGCTCTTCCAAAAAAATTGTTGTATTATTATTCAGAATGGTCTAATGAATATATGTAGTGAAAAAGAATGCTTAAATATGAATAATATATGATTTATGGGTAAAAATGTGATTTTTATGACTTTATTTGCATAAGTTACCATAAATATGCAAATGAGTGAATTTTTCAAAAAATTGAAATTATCATATTATTCTATACGCTTCACTTGACATGCGTGCAAATTTTTGCGGCGATCGGCCGCTTCGCGGTCGAGATCTTAAGGGGGGGGCCATAATGCCCACCCCCCCCCCCCCGGCCATACTAAGACCTCGAATAGCCCGGCCTTATTAGGGTTAACAACTGTTGAAAAGACGAGGGCAATAGAGTACCTAAGCTGTGACGTCATAAAAATCTATTTTTAGAATTTCTCAATTTTTTTCTTCATATTCCGAAAGAACATCAAAAATAATGTCCAAATGTTGAAAACCAATTGAATATGTAAAGTATTGGCTGAGATATGACCATCTGAATGAATATATGTCCTTTGGGAACTCAGTGTTATATGCTCTGGCTCCTAACCATTAGGAGCCAGAGCATATAACACTAAGTTCCTATGGGGAGTATATTTATTCAGATGGTCATATCTCAGCCAATACTTTACATATTCAATTGGTTTTCAACATTTGGACATTATTTTTGATGTTCTTTCGGAATATGAAGAAAAAATTGAGAAATTCTAAAAATAGATTTTTGATGACGTCACACTTCACCACTCTATAGGGCAATATGAATGCACAGTCGAACAAGAGCAGTGCATCTCGCAAATTTTCACTTTTGACCTTACCCCTTCTTTTGATCTACATGTACTGCACATTCCATGACTAAACTAGATGGAACTTCGACTGCACGCAGTCGAAAATGATGCCTCCGTCATAGATCAATTTTACAAACCAAAACAGAAGAAATTTTTCAAATTCAAGTTCAATTGTAATCCATTAACAGGTTCTCAGAATATCGTGATTACAAGCAATTTCTCATATACATACCGTATATGACCCTTTGATCTTTGACCTCATGACCCTAAAATCTACTCAGTTCATTGGCTCTGCAAGATGTCCTGAGTTAAATAGTAATCCATCAGTCAGTTCTAATGAGAATGCATTCACAAGCTATTTTTGCATACATAATGAGCCCATGACCTTTGACCTCATGACCCAAGACTGTACTCAGTGCATTGGCTCTGCAAGATACATACATGATCTAAGTTTGGCAGGAATCCATCAATCTGTTCTAATGATAATTTGATCACAAGCTATTTTTGCATACATAATGAGCCGCATGACCTTTGACCTTGACCTCATGACCCCAAAAACTTTTGAGTTCATCGGCTCTGCAAGATACATATATGACCAAAGTTTGGCAGGAATCCATCAATCGGTTCTTCAGATAACGCGATCACGAGAACGGGACGTACGGACAACCCAAAAACATAATGCCTCCGGCTACTTCGTAACGGAGGCATAAAAATCAGAACAAAAGGGGTATCATTTTTAAATGGAATAAACCCACTCTCTAATGATACTGAATATGGCAATTATTATGCCATGACAAGAAAGATATAACATTTTCAAAACTTTTTTGAGGGGTTTATATATATATATATATGCAGCTGAGTTGTCTTCTAAACTCCTGAGTTCATGCAAAATAGTACATAGTTTTGTATACGTCAATACTATTACCACTCAGCCGTATACTTTGGAGTGGGTTTCTGTACATAGTATTTGTACAGGCTCATTGTCAGTGCCATTCATCTCACAACTATTTTTCAATCATTATTATATTGAATTAACAATTGTTATTATTAAAGTTATCAGAGATTAATAACTATTATTACACCTTGAATTCAATGTTTGAATCCAAATTATCGCTCTTGATGATTCACCAATCACAGGGTGGATGTGTGGTTATTAGAACAACCACCTTCTTCTTTTTAATTGGTTTATTTGGCAGCAGTTAATAAGAATTGATTATCTTTGCAAATGGCATTCTCAAAAGTCTTGCTCAAAGGCTAAAGAAAAGAGCTTTTAAACAGAAATTATTTTGGGGGTAAATTCACAAGCTTCCCCCACCACCAACAAAAAATTGAAAAATATTATCTAAAAGGCATCAATGGAAGCTACAACCTGGATTTTTAAGTCCTTTAAAAAAATAGAATTTCTTGCATTTGCAGGACTAATTATTAACAAAATTTAAATTATTCATCTTGTAGCTCACATCACCCCCTACATTTGTGACAAACTTGGCGTCAATAGTATGATCCTTGGCCAAAATCTGAAAGGGGCCATGATGCCCCCTCCCCCAGGCTGTAGCTAGTCATAAAATATGCAGTTTTTAGGGTTAAGATTGCCAACATTATGGCTTCTCCATTTATGTTCCCTTGCTCCATCATTACACCAGCCCTCCCCTCCAAAATAGAAGAAGACAAAAACACAAGACCAATGTAACTGCAACACTAATATGCCTCCACCTAAATTCTGTTAAGATCATGGCTTGCATCATTCTTGAAATATCAAGACAAGATGATAACAAAAAACTTTCAAATAATTATACAAATTTAAAATGAAACATTTGTGATTTTTTGGAAATATTAGCAAATTTCGAGTTTAAAGGTAATAATAAAGTTTTGGTATGTGGTCATGAATTTGGTTCAAATGAACATATTAGAAGCATATGTGATTTTACAATATTACAATATTCAATGATCGTTGTCGCGGATGAAATAGAGTCTAAAGTGATGAAATTGTAAATAATTAACTCTGTATGTCCCTCTCAAGACCGATATTACTTTAGCTTTGAAACAATGTTTTTTTTACTACAATCGCATACCGTAATTAACGTTGTATTAACCACACCCCTCTTTTTCGCCCTTAAGCTAGGTCCGTGTTAAAAAAACCCACGCGGGAAGGCCTTTCATTTAACTGCGAGGTGCAGCTGAATGTGTAAGATCATTAATGTAACTTAAAAAACAGTAGAGGACCTAGGATTAAGCCTGAGTCATTACGTTTTTTGTGCTAAACGGTTAACCGTATATGGGCGGTTTCGTTTAACTGTTTAATAATAATCTGAAAAAGTGAAAATACAGTATTTGTAATAGTGCTGAAGCTCGGAACCCTGCTGGTCTTCAGACTGTGGGGCTGAGCATTCCCAGCCCCGGACTATGGCACAAATTGGGTCATTCTGATAAACAGAGACCAGTAATAAACAACATAAAACATGTCTTATTATTCCTCATCTGAATTTGATATCATGATTAACCTTGCAAAGTTACTCTGTGAAGATAGCTGATCTGTGACGTGTTTGCAATACAATGTCTGCACATGGTCAGGGAGAGAGCTCCCTGCATGTATCATTGCCATATGAAATTATGTGGAAGTGTGTATCACACACACCCAAGACACACCCTGCAATGAGCTGATCCAAGTTAGTGACCAATCAGGAAGGTTCTCTAGCTATGTGGGTGGAGTTTGATACCAGCATAAATTACAGGTTGGTGACCGCGCATGCTTTCACCGTACCCAGTTCAGTGGGAGGTCAAGAAGCCACGCCCACATGTGTGCATGTGACAAGCATGAGCTCTCCATTTGTGTGTATGTACAGCAGGCCTTCTTAACTGGCGGCGCGCGCGCCACTTGTGGCGCTTGCGGTCAGTCGGAGTGGCGCGCGATTGTTGCAACAAAACAAAAAACAAAAAGAAAGAAAGAAAATATATATTTTAGAATTAAATACCCAGCTAAATCAAGAAGTTGCAGTCGAATTTGAGCCCAAAATCCCTGCTTAACAAACAGGAAGAAAGGGGAATTTATTGTTTTTTACCATTTTATACGAATCTAAACCTAAGGTCTGAACAACAATTTACAATTTAGCTTACGATGGGATACCAATTTTAACATTGCCAATATCTGGA